ATAAAAGAAATTCTCTATTCCCCAATTATGTAAGAAAAGGGAAATATTGATTTGGGTACTTTCTATTTCAGTTGAAAAGCAGGTCAAGTAGATGGCATTTCAAGGGTCTTGCAGTTTCTTTAACAGCTTCTACAACACATTATTTGCACATCAGGGTTTTTTTGGTCAGGATTAAATGGTCAGCAGAGTGACTGGCACATGATAATTTTTTGTCATTATTATTGCTGTGATCATATTCATTTTTCCCTTAAATTTTCTACATATTAGTTTTCGCTTTTTTTTTAGTTTTTTTTTTTTTACTCATTTGTGCTTTTGTGTATCAAGTATTAAGTGGCATTGAATCCAATATTTTCTATAGTAGTATTCTTAGGGATTCCATGGACAGTCACACTAGAAATAAAGGAGAAAAGATGCTGGAAACCAGACATTTTTGTGGAGCCTTAAGTGGTACATGGTGATAAAATAAAGATGTTTCCCCAAAATATTGAAAATAAAGGAAATGGCCTTATTAGAAATATGAACCATCAAAAGTTATCTTCAAAAAAGAAAATGAGTCCTAGCATTAGCTTTACTATGTATTCATATATTAAAATAAAATATTTTAATCCTAAAATTATGTCTCGACCAAGATCTAACTGGTAGAAGAGAAAACGCACTAGGTTATTTAAGGCAAAGGCTATTTAATAGAAGAATCTGGCTATCAAGGAATTGGAAAAGCTGGAAGAATAAAAGGACAAAGTTGAAGGATACTGGAAGGCTAAAAAGGTGATTGACCGGGAGCTGCCACTTGATGCTGTATTTGCTGATTTGATGCTTGAACCATCATGGAATTCTGACAAAATTCTACTGCTGCAAGCCAGCAGGTGGCTTAGTGGTTCAGGTTCTGGACTCTCTTGTGGCCTACCACAGATCAAGTCCTGGACCCAGCAGCTTGAAACTCATGCTGGCGTGTGTGCATGCATGCCCCAAATCCCAAGAGAATGGAGGAGAATGAATTGCAACATGGCTATCTCCCTTTGGGAATGATTTCTCGCTTTCTGTCTCTCTATCTCTTCAGCAAGGGCATGCATCCTATAGCAAAAATCTCTTTAAAAATGAAAATGAAGATTCTACTGCAGGAGAGACTGAAAATTCAGAAAAGGCCAGCCACAGTTGCTGTGTCTCTCTGTTGATGTAGAGACAATCAGTGAAGACTTCGACAGCTGGAACGAGAAGATGGACATTTTCTCTTTTTTCTTTCTTCTGCTCTCCTAGCAGTGACTCCTGCTGTCAAAACCTATGAAAAGACCAACAAGCAAGAGGGTTGGAAATGTAGTTTGCAAGTTCACAGACTTAGCAGGATAGAGACTACAGGAGTAGGGATGTGGGGCCATGACTCCACAGATGAACCATCATGGATTTAGCATTCACATGCATTCTGCTTTCCAGCACCTTCCACCACTTATAGTAATTACTGTATGCTTCCACCTAACACAACATTAATATAATTTGTATAAATGAAGATTTGCTCACATTTTGTCACTATATTTGATTCTTGTAATGTTAATTCTTATTTTAGTTCAGAAATGACCCATTTGAATATTCTGCAACCTAAAAACTAAACGGCAAATGAATAACCATTCACTTTTTTACAAATAAATCAGTAACAAAAAAGAGGGAGGAAATTTGGCTATCATAAACAAGTCTATAAATAAGCAAAAAGCAAAACAAAACATTATAGCATCTACATTGAAACCATAGTTGTTATTTACAACTTTTCCCCTTTGCCTTCAGCTGGTAGCTTATCAGTTTGGAATTGTTCACCTAGTGAGGCCTCCTAAACCTTCATCACTCGGTGGTCCTGCCTTTATTGGGTTGCTAGCAACTTTCAATATGCATATGACTGAACCTGGTCGTATATTTGTTACAACCCATGATGTAAACTTTCCACTGTGTAGAGAGAGAAAGCAAACATATTTTGTATAGGTGAGTGTCATAGTAAGAAGAAATGCATCAACTTCCTTACCTTGCATCTAGGTTTTCTCTCTATAGAAAACCCAACATCAAATATTGGTCCTTTGTTCCAAGTCCAAGCAGCATCTTGTAGGAAACCCAAATCCATAGGGTATTGTCACTCACCTTGTCCTGTAATGTAGGCTTTTAGAGGCCATCCCAGCGATCTCTCAAGTTGATGAGGTAAATTTTAAGACAATAATAACTTCTATGGGTGTTAGCTCACTGCCCTGCCTTTTTTCTTTTAAACTAAGAACAGATTTCCTAATAAAAAGCTATGTTGTAAGAAATATTCTGACAATGCATGCAACATTCCATAAGTTTACAAATGCTGGCACTGCCAAACCATGGCAAGCAGGTTAGAGGTGAGTAATTCCTTCCCAGAAGACAGAAACACTTGGGAAAAGGACTCTTGGTATTCTGGTTCCATGATAGAGGTATCTCCTTTGCTTTTAGTCTTAAATTATCATTCTATATTAGATTCTTATATTGGTGCTATGCTATGTGTGAATTAATTTACTCATTCAATATTATTATACGGCTGTTATGTTTTAGGTATGGTGCTAAGTATATAAATACATAGGTGAAAGGCCTGGTGGTGGTACAGTGGTAACACAACTGACCCACATGGGAAAGGTTCAGGGTTCACATCCCGGGGCCTCTCTTGGCATGCCTGGCATGTGTATGTATGCTCGTGATCAGTCAGCTGAGACTACGGGTGAATGGTGGTGTAAAGAGTCTATTGAAGGTGCCCATCTCTCCTTCTCTCTTTGTTTCTGTCTCACCATGGAAGAAATAAAGGCATTTTTAAAAAAGGAAATACAGTTGGGATAAAATCATGATTCATTCAGAACCATATAGTCTATTGGGAAAGTCAGGCAATTAAACAAGGAACAATATTATTAAACTAGTGTGATAAAAATGCTATGATGAAAATGTACAGGGAGCTATGAGAGAAGCATCCACCTTCTGTGTTGAGGAAAGACTATCTGACAGAGGAACATTTAAGATAATTTTCCAGACTATATCCGTGGCCTGGTGGTTAAGGCAGTAAAATCCCACATGGCTGACTGCATAATTTGAGTCTTAGACCTCGAGGATTAAGTATCACACCAGGTGCATGTATGTGCATGCCCAGAATCCCAAAAGGAAAAGGGTGGAGGAAAAGAGATTGAGGTGTGACCATTGAGATGTGACCATGCCTCATAGAGAGTGGTTTCTCCTCCCTCTGTTTCTCTTTCTGTCTCTCTAGTGAGCATGTGTGCCCCATACCAAAAATAAATAAATAAATAAATAAATAAATAAATAAATAAAAATTCTCAAAAACACTCAAGGAGGCCACTATGAAAACTCATTTTACTTTGAAAGAGGTTCTAATTTAACTTGTATGCAAAGTTCTGTTTCTCACAGTATATTTAGTGTATTTGAGAATTTGATATTTCTAGTAAACACAAATTCAGGTTATACATATCCCTAATTCCTTTTTTTAATAATTCTTTTATTTAAATTTGTTTATTTTTTTAAAAATTTAACCAGAGAGAGGCAGAGAGAAAGAGAGAGAGAGAGAGAACATGAGAAAGCAAGCTGCCAGGTCCATGACTCGAACTGTGGTTGGTCATGTGGAAATCCAGTGCCCTTAGCCACCAAGCTACCTGCTGACCTCCCTAATTCCGTTTTTATAAAAATATTTTTTGTAGAGCAAATCAAATGGTTATGTTCAGTTGGTGTTTCAATCTCCTGTCTCAACTAGTTGATTTCAGGAAAATACACGGGCCTTCCCTTTTAAAATAAATACCAGTTGATCCTTAAAACTAGCAAGTCATAGGTTCTCTAACCCATTCACAAAGCCTCCTCAATGTGATGTGTATAATTAGTGTAAGGCTTTATGTTTGGGTGATTTAGTGTTGTAGCTGACAACATGGGCTTTGGAATCAAGCTACCTAGATTCAAATGCTCAAACTCTTGTCAACTATGTGACCTTGAGCTCTCTGTGCCTCAGTTTCCTCATCTCTGAAATGGTGATAATAACACTACCTCTTTTATAGGAATGCTGTGAAGAGAGGCTCAAAAGGAGTCAGTGGTAGGTGCTTAGAACAGTGCCTCATACATAGTGAGTAATATACAATGCATTCTCAAGGAAGGTCACTTTACTCTGTCTTCATTTTTCTTTTTATGTTTTAATAGTTTTTGTGAGAGGATACATGTGCTCACCAGAGAGACAGAGAGAAAATGAGAAATTATCCCCTGGGGGGATGGCCACACCACAGTTTCTTCTCCTCCATTCTTCTCAAGGGACTTTGGGCACACATGCATACGTACCTGGCATAAGTTTTAAGCCGCTGGGTCTGGGACTCGAACTGCAGTCAGCCATGTGGGAGATGAGCACCTTAACCATTATGCCACCTGCTGGCCCTAGTCACTTTACTTCTTGAGGACATTTATTAAGAATAACTTTTTAGAAGGCAACAAAGAGTATAAATGTACTTCATTTATTCATTTTTTATCTGAAACACCAATGGCAGAAATTAACATGATGCAATTGAAGAACTCTATACTGGGATTATTGGGTTCTCTTTCTGTCCCTCTACTAATAAGCTTGGCTGTTCGATAGTCAAGGGTAAAGCCTATTTTATCCTTTGGAAAGAGACAAGGTTTAAATCAGGGAAAATAGTGGATACTACCCTGAAATTAAAAATCAAAAGTGCCTGGTTTCTTTTTTTTTCCCTCCAAGTTTCTTTCTTTCATGAGAAAGAGAAAGGTAAGCATCCTTAACAGGGTGATATGCTGTGATCCCCCTGACTCCCACATCTTGCCAGTCAGGATCATGGACATGGGCACATGCACAGGTGTGTATAGACTCAACCCCCATCTTTCATTTGGTTTCCAGCAATGCAGAGCATCGTCTTGCTACTGCACCATCGTGTCAGGGCCAAGGAATGCTTGCTTTCTTAAGACATTCTTTGCTACTGTCCAGTAGTCATACTAAGAGCTGATTATTATCTTCCCAGGTGTTATCACGAGCTATGGATTATATCTAGATGGTATACTAATCCACAATTCCTCCGAGCTCAGCTGTCACGCTTATGGATTTGCTCCTTGGAGCTTACACTCCTTCAGAGTCCAAGCTTGCACGGCCAAAGGTTGTGCATTGGGTCCACTGGTGAGTAGTGAATTTGCATTCTGCGACTACATTAAATGTCAGGTACCACTAAACATCAAGGAGGAAGTGACTGTTCTCGCCTCATTCTCCACATAACTAGCCTTTCCAGTAGCAGGCTGGAAGATTTTTCCTTTTATAAAAGTTCATGTAATAGTTACTAAGATTTTATATTCATCCTAAATTTCAGGACTTCACATAGGTCTAGTGAAGGACAGAATATATATTTTACTGAGGGAAAGATAATTTGGCTGCTTTAGAAGGCATACTTACAATGTTGCCTGATGTAGTGCCATATTTAAGGTCGATGTTTTCCTTCCTAATAGTGGGCTTGAGAACTCAGGAACTTTATGGTTAAAGAGTAGAAATAATTAAAAGTCTGTCACTACCACAACACAATGCTCCCCAAAGAGTACAGTAGGACTTCAAAAAATGGATGAAAACATGACTTTATTTTGGAGCCAAAAGAAAAATTGCAAAACCCATGCAGTTTTTTTTTTTAAATAAGCATTTGCTGTGAACTTTTTAAAGACTCTTCATAGGATAATCAAATAAAATTTTCAATTTGCCTTATCTCTTATTGGGTCGTCAGAAAAGTCATGATGTATTTTTTCTATTTTTTAATGCAAAAATGCATCGTTACTTTTCCAATGACCCAGCAGAATAAAATAATTGTATTTTGTTTATGTGATATATAGTCTTATAAGTATAGTCTCTAAAATTATATTGAAACCAACTTTTTATATCCACAGCATAGCAATCTTTATCTAGATTTCATTAGCAGTTAATAGCTTACCAAAGGGCCATTTCTGTAGCCTGGTGGTTAAGGGAGTCAGATTCCACATGGTCAACCACAGTTTGAATCCACGTTCTGGTGGCTTGAAAAACATGTTGGGCACATGAGCATGCATGCCCCAAAACCCAAAGGGATTAAGAAATTGAAAACGGTTGCAGCATGACCATGCCCCATTGGAGGGGGATGCTTTCTCCCTTTCTCTCTCCCTCTGTTTTTCTCTGGCCAGTGCACAGATGCTCTGGCAATTAAAAAAAAAATAAGCTTGACCAAATGACGTTTTTTGTTACCATATAATTTAAAAAACAAATTAGTAGTATATCGTCATCATGGACTAGCACGACATATTTTATTTTCAAAATAGTACATTCTACTTTGGTGTGTTTTTCTTGATTCAATTTTGTTTCTTTTAGGCGAAATACTCATTAGTTTTTGTGGGTTTTGTTTTTTGGCAATGTTTGTGAATTTCCTATCATTTTAATTGACTCTGTCTTTACTGAAGAGTATATTATATACATATTACCCTGAAAAATGGCTGTATGGTTTGATTTTTGCTTCTGTACTTTTGATCGCACATCCCATTTTGTTGCAGAGATTGGTCACCTTCCAAGCAGCTCACATCATCCATTGGCAGAGCTGAGCTGTAGACTTTATTGCCATTAAGCATTTTATATCCCAGACCCCTCTGATGGATACTTAAGTCTTAAAAGCAGGA